TGTGTGGTATCCAGAAATTTATTTTTGTGTTGCGTCCGACTCCAACCCGTTGTTCTTGAGAAAATATCGCTGTTGGAACGCGTCTGAATTTCTCACTTATTAGTATTATCTTTGCCTAAGTATATGAGAAACTACATGCACTTAATTTAATTTATATGGGCTTTCCTTTTCTACCCTTTGCTTTCCATCATTTGATTGATTCCTTGGATATAACTTTATTCACACAATCATATATATATATATATATATATAATTTTTGCCTCATGTGCATTTACTACACTGCTTCCACTTTTAATTTCCTTCATCATTTGCATTCATTAAAGCGCTTTTTAATTAATCATCCTTAACTAAATTTCAACTTCTTTGAGATTAATGGCTATACATTTTTTATACTAAATCCCATTGTCTTGGGCATCAATTATGCGCCCACTATCACAATCTTTTATCATATGAACCCTTGTTTAAATCATTTTGTGATAATTATTTTTGCGAGCAACTTTACACTTTCAAACACATGATTGCTTAAGGGGTTTCGTTAATTGGTCTAATAAGTACCACATAAATTTATTAAAGTATTCCTTAAAACCATGTTTATCTTTATATCAGCCTTCGAAATACTATTAAATTTTAGGATCCTGAGCGAGATATATCAAATTGGGCTGTCAAACCGATGAAGGGCTCCTCCGGTAAGTCGCCTAACATAGCGTTTATAATTTGCAAAAGTCTGAACAAGAAATTACTTTAGCAGTTCCTTATTAAATGAATAATCCTTTTTGATGATCTTCATTTGAATCTACCTTGAATCTATTTGTCCTATTTTTACTGTTTTGGTATATTAAATAATTAGGCTTCGAACTTACAGGTATTTCTCTTTTTGGAATTTAAATCGCTTAGTCGACTAAGGTGCTGTGCGTACTCAATCAAACCTATAAAAAAGCGTAACGATGCTATTGAATTTTATTCCGCTGTTTCTTATAAATCTTTCTGTTTATAATGATCGGCAGCTTTGACATTGATTAAGCCTTTGTGTCCATCACTATTTTTGTAATCCAGTCGTTTGCATCAAGTATCAACATTATCATTCAACTTCACCCTCTGGTGTCTGTCAACCACAGAGCAGAACGGACTTGCACGACAATTCATTTCTCTCAATTTGCATTCCTCTAGTAGTACTGTAATCGTTTTTTGTATTTTCGCAAATTTTGTATTTTTACATGTTACTGAGCAAGTAGTCTTATGAGGTTAGGGTTCCGATGCATAAAATAATGGTTTAAATTGATTAATTCGTTATTTAATTTCGTAGGATATTCAATCTATTCCTCTCATCTAAACTAGATAAAGAAGGAATAACTTTCCTATACTCTCATTATTATGGTGATTTCGGCTTATTTTATCCTGATATTCGATAACAAGCAGAATACAAGTAAGTTGACCTCGTCTTCGCCACTTGGTCTTGTTGTCAGGGGAACTTAGTTGGACGAACCTTATTCGAAGTGATCTGCCTCTGTCGAGTTGTAGCTTGGTGCTGAGAATGGCACGATTAACTGATGATTATGGCGAAACGTCTGAGCATGGGCCAAGTCCACGGTTTAAAGCTTGGAATTATGATAAATACTATGGCAGAGACTTGGGACAGTGTGTCCAGCGAAGTTGCACTGACAACAAGACTAAGTTGCGAAAACGAGGTAAGCCCATTTCTATACATCAATATGGACTGCGACCATACAGATGGTCACATTATCTTGATCTTAATAACTTCGAGCAAGATAAGTTTATTATTCTGATACTTCTTAATTGTTGCGAAAATCTTTTAAGTACCTATTAACTGATTCTATTTGCCTGTTTTACTACATTATATTGCTTTAGATATAAAGTATTTTAAGAATTACTAAAAGAATATACTTTACTTATATTAGGTTAACTATTAACAGTATTAAATAGTAATTTACTATGTAAAATAGCTTGATTTCCTATAATAGTCAGACCCATTTTGGAAGCTTTATGTGGTTTTCGTCATTATCTATCACTACTATTTATGTAGCATTTGATTATGCCTCTTATATTTTAATTATATGATTTTTCCTTATTAATTATATTACTTTTACTTAGCCGTCTATATTTATTCACATCGACTTCTGTTAACCAACTAATTGATCCCGTATTTTTTCTAAATAAAGGTAATTCAAATAATACATCACGACAGCTTAATTGTGCCCATCAGACTAGCCGCCGAGAAGTTGTATTACATGCTAGCCTTGCCGACATATCTTCGCGAATTGACTCTAAACAGCGTCTCCTGGCGGAGCTTCAATCTCGAACTGTTCAGCTAGACAGGTTACGTCAACATTACCAGCGTCAATTGGAGGTATTACAGGCGAAAATTCGCGAAACCGAGGCAGAGCGCGATTCAGTGATGGCTAATTTAGACCGTGTTGAGCACTCAGAGCACGAAAAGCTGAAGCGAATCCGTTCTGACTACGAAAAGCGATTACAGTCGATGCAGGTATCAAGACTAATCATTAAAAATTATTGACCAATCCTCAAAAAACTGCACTATAGGATGGTTATTGTAAACCTTAAATTAATTTTGGTTTAACCTCGTTTTTACAATTTGGTCAGAGCGACATGAACATCTTTTATAGGATGGATATTCCGTCGTCTACTTGAGGCTTAATTAAGCTCCATTAACATATAGAAGAAATCGTTGTTATGGTTATCTTACTAGATTCACAAAATTAAATGCATTTGCAATACCCAAAAGATTTGTTTTAACATAATCTCCAGAATTTTTAGTGGCTTCAGCAATTTAAACGATACGTCTTTTCTAATAAATAAATATTATCTCTATTTGGCAGTTATAGTTAAGCTCGAGTTGATCATATGGTATGTTTAGATCCATCGGCTTAATCATAGAAATTGTTCTATTTTTTGTGTAGTAACAATATTAGATAATTCTTTAATTGATACATATAATGGTGATAAAGAAGGTAGGTTCATCTATTCCTGGATGTTTATCAAGCTTGCGAAAATTTTGGTTTTGAATTTATTTAACAGGATTACATTTACGAGGATATATACACAAAGGTGGTGTGGCCTTTGGTTAAGTCGCAATCTCCTTTCGATGTACACAAGTGAATTGATCTCGTTTTCGCAACCTGTTTGTGTTGTCAGAGCTGCTTAGTTGGGCATACCTTGTCCGATGTCCTCTGCAATAATCGCTATAATAATTCCAAGCTTCGAACCATAGACATTACCAGTCGTTTCGCTGGTATCGCATTCGGCATCATTAGTGATTCTTGCCCTTCTCAACACCAAGCTACTATTCATCAAAGTGATAGCATAACTGTTCGACATAGGGCTGATCACTTTAATTGTCTCTTTGATCAGTTATAGCTTTCCGCTGAGAATAGAAAGACTGACTTACAATGCCGAGTGTGATGTCTCGAAGCGTCTGAGCACAGTAAGTCTTTGGTCTGACGTTGGGAATTATGGTAATTATTTTAACAGAAGACTTCCAGCTAGTTGGGTCTAAATTACCCTGACAACACGACTAAGTTGCGAAAACGAGATCAAACAACTTCTAGGATTAACTTTTATTTAATACTTGCTTTTTGTTTCTTAAATATTTGCCTTAAATATAATAATTATTCAAGCCACCAAACTAGTGACGATTTTGAAGTTTGCTCAATAATCGCTCTAAATTTTATATCTCACTGCTTTCATTAAAACTCTTTTCGCTTTATTTTATTTGAATGATATTGTTCATTATGTCTACAGTTTCTTAGTCCTCGTACGTAAATTATTTTAATTCTAATAGCGCAAATACGTCATTACTTTTAGTCTTACTAGATATCTTACAATCCCATTTTTCTTTATCGAATAGGAAGAACTGAAAGGCTTGCTTAACTCACG